AGCTTACAACACGGTCTCATGGTGTGCATTGTGACATCTCTCATCGCTTCCAGCATCTTCTGCTGCGTAGTGTTTACCGTTTTCCTCCTCTATCGTCGATGCGCCTCATCCTATGCGGGGCTCAGTTCACTTTGCCAGGCCGGAAGCGGCGGCGGCGGCAGCAACAATAACCGAGTGAATGCGTCGCCGGCGCTCCTGACCAGTTTCCTGACTCCCTGCTACTTGGATCTGAGGCCTGTGGAGGCGACTAACAGCACAATGCTATTTCGTGGGCTGGAGATAAAGAATGACTTTAACCAGGACATCCTACCGAAGGAGGACGAGGAGGAGGGGACGCCGAGGATAGAGATTGCAACGCAGCTTATTTAGGCTGCTTCTGAGATACGATTCTTCATCTGTACATAAATAATATTTTTCAGTAACTTCTTATGAATATGTGCGCTCTGAGACAATCTATAAATGGTTTATTAATTGATGGGTATACTAATTGTACAGGAATTATAATGGACACCTGGAGCGCATGCAAGGGTGGCGTGTAGTTTAGAGCAATGCATAAACCTCCATAAAATTGTATTATGCCCTCGGTGCGCTCTTTAAAGGTACGCATTTGAAAAGTAAGCTTTATATGTAATCTATTATTAGCAAGCATATAAAGGCGCAACGACATTAATATGCAGCCTCGAAGTCCAAAGCATAGATAGGGATGTATCTGTTTGATCGGCTGTAAATCGATTGACTAGTGACCATTTAACAGGGACTTTATGCGATGAGTTGAAAGTAAGCCCTTGGCAGCAACTGTTTACAGCCTCACTCTCTGAGTTTCAGTAACCCACTTGAATGTTGCCAGATTTCCGTTCATAGAAAAGCTTTCCTCCTGAGGTGACTACATTCTTAAATGTAATGAGACGCTTTGCGGAATTTGGCTATGAGGCAACTGGGGGACCCAGTCGCCTTACATTCTACCGCCCTTTAGACATAACATCTGGGGCCACTTTAAAAGAATGAATTCATTTCGAATTTGACCATTAGAAACTCTGCCGAGAAGAAGAAGGCTCGATCGCTGGGACAATATGTTTATTCACCTGACGTTTCGACATCCATCGGGAACATCTTAAGAGACATGAGTTTCTGTTACTCATGTCTCTGAAGATGAATCAGCGACGGATGTCGAAACGTCAGGCGAATAAACATACTGTCCCAGCGATCGAGTCGTTTTCTTCTCAATTGCTTCCTGGGACACGCATGTTCGCTTGCATTGGCAGAAACTCTACTATAATGCAACTATAGACTGGTATGTTAAGTTAAGCCCCTGGACATTTCCCTTTTTTAAATAAACTGCCTACATTGCTCTCGTATTAGAAAAAATCTGCGCGGAATGGCAATTATGCTCTAGGCCCCATCTTAGCTCACATGTATATGGCTGAAAGGAACGAAACATAACGCAACGAAAATCGTGAGTGTAACCTAAAAGTGCAAAATATATTTTATCGGACGTGATCATTTCTAAGAGAAATGCATGACACCAGTAGATAAAGATTTTGCGACTGTATCCTAACAATCTTTCCTTCCCTTTTGGTCCCGAAATCCAATGGGTGTGTTATGTAAAGAAGACTGGAACGATGGTTTTATTCTGAGCTTTCGGCTCCACACGAGAAGCCATCGTCAAAGTAAATGAGAGAAGCAAGCGTCAGCTACGCAGTAGTAATAGGACGGGACGCGAATTGCTGGAGGCCTGGATGTCAGATTCTTACTCCATAAACAGGCATGTGGATATACCGCCCTGTTATTTTGCCATCCGTGC